ATGTTCCAGGATCTATCTACAGGCTCCGATCCCAGCTATCCTCGATCTTTATCGGAATTATTGGGAATAAGGATGCACAAGATACACACGCGCGCGCAGGCGCACACACATACACACAAAGAGAGAGAGAGAGAGAGAGAGAGAGAGAGAGAAAAATATTTTTTAAATTTCAAGTTTTAAAAAGTGTGTTATAAGTTAAGGATTGTAAGAAATAAAATACTAAAATAATAATATAATAAAATATGTTATAACGAAATTTAAGATAACTTTATATAAAATTTAATTCAAATTTCATTTTTCTTTATGAAAATTAAAGAAATGTAAAAAGTGAGCAAATCGGAAAGTCAAAAAATTGTTCTCCTAATATGAAATGACCCCGAGAAATCGATAATAAAAGTATATCGGTATATCAGTATTGCAATTAAAAAACTTTATTTAATATTTGTTTCTAAAATACAAACAGATACAGCCAGCGAGTGTGAAAAATGAGCATGCGATAGATTATATCCAGAACTCGTCTTCAAGTAGTTGGAATCAAGCATTGTAGAATTGAAATGGATTCAGATTTTCAGAAATATTGATTCATGAATGTTAAAATGAATATATTTCAATCCTGAATGCATTTTTATTCATTTATAGAAATTGCATGGAGCATATCTCTATGCTATTTCAATCTAAAAACAATATTAGCTTTTTCTGTGTACAACACAATTGTGAATACTGTTCAAACTTTTGAATAGAAGAAATGCTAAGGAAAGTTTTTCAATCCAATTGAATCCAATTAAATCCAAAAAAAAAGTATTTGCAATTTTTTTTTTAAATACGCATTCGAATAGAAAAAAATTTCAATCCATTTTAATCCATTCTCGTTTGCTGGGTAATTAAATAATTCAACATATCCCGTATTTTTCTATTAATACCTTTTCTATTAATACTCTATCATTATATAAAGAATTTATTGCCAAATATTTATTTATTAAATAATAAACAAGATTTAAAGACTCATCTCAAATTATTATTACAATATTATTAATAATTGTATTTTAAATACTTTTTTTGTGGATTTAATTGGACTCACTTGGATTCAATTAGATTCAATTGGATGCAATTGGATTGAAAAACTACATTTTCTATTCAAAATTTTCTCAATGAAACTTGAAGACATCCAAATTCTAAAATCTTTTACAATGACTATGCATGATTTAATAATGAATTTTCTACTAAATAGTTTTTTCAATCCAAGAGCAATAAATTTATGGTGCAACCAATAGATAGCGTTTATTTTCAGATAGTTCAGCAGAAACGCTATCTCATATTAGACGCCTATCTCGTAATAGAGGGCTTTCCTCTATATAATTTAGAAACCAAACAACTCAAATTATTTAGCCCTTTAATGCATTAGTATTTTTGACAATTCGGTTTATGTAAAATATTCCGATAACTTTAATACATCACGCGTTAAACTTTTTTTTCAATCATTTTTTCTCTCAATCTTTAAAATTACATATATCATTTTTTAATTTACTTAAAATAGAAGCTACAACTATTTACATGACGCGTTACAAAGTACATGCAGATTAAAAAGAAACTTGATAAAGAATAGAAAAAAAAAGAGAAAATTAACAAACTAAACTGAATTAAAAATAAATTTTGAAATTAAACTAAATTAAACTAAAGTATAGAAATAAGCTCAAACTAAAAACGATATGTGAATCTTTTAAGAATAAATCCGATCTTCTTTCAAAGAATGTTTCTAAAAAATACAGATGAAACAATTTCCGCTATCCTTTCGATATAAAAAATACTTTCGATATAAAAAAAAAAGGTAATGCAATGATCATGCATGGCCGGTGTATCCAGAAAAAAGGGTAGGGGATTCAACTTCTCCTCGAAATTGTTTATTTATTTTCTCATTTTTAATTATAAAACACGATGATCTAAATCTGGCAAAATCTGGCTAGTCAATTCAAGGATAATTCTAGGATATTACAGGAAAAATTCTGATTTTTCCAGAATTCATCCCATCAATTAATTTTCATTTATACAATATATGCTTTGTATTCTTTGTATTCAAATTATTCTATATAAATGAATTAAAATGCTAACATTTGGAGCAATATTATTTATAAGTGATATCAAACGAATATTCCGTCAACACAAATGATTTTTCTATGTTCTATTTTAGACATTAAATTCAAGTTTTTTATTGATAACTTATTGCATCTCTTCATGACAGAACTTGTACCTAAACATAACTTTTCTTTTTATTATTTCTGTCTTTTTTCAGGCTGATTTTTTTGGAATGAAAGAATGATGGATAAATTCCAGATCAACCTTGAAATTTCAGGGGTTTTCCAGGAATTCTTCAGAATAAAATTCCAGTATAATTCCAGGATCCAAGAATATTCAAAGATCGTTGGACACCATGTAAAAGAATACAACTTCACTTTTTGACTCGCCGAGTAATTTTTTGTTGTCGCATAAAATATTTCTTCTCCTTGTTACAACTACGTAAATGATTTCTGGAACTTTTGTTAGTGACAGATTGTTTTGATTGCAGAGTGTCTGATATATAAGGAAAATTTTTGCAAGATTTTTGAGCCGAAAAAACAAAACATTATACTCGTATACTATATATGTGTATATAGCGCTGATACGTTAATAAATATTCCATTATTTACATTTCGTTTTTAATATAACCGTATTTCGCTCATATTTTATTGAGGAAACAAAAGAAAATTTATAATTTACAAATTAACTTAATATTTGTTTCCATTTAAAATCTATTTAAAAAGAAAACAAAGAAGAAGACATTCAAAGCTCTAAAATATTTAAAGAAACAATTCAATAGTGCAAAAAATGACTATTTATGTGATAACAGAATTGATAAAATCCTCCTTCTCCCAAAAATCCTGGATATGTCCATGTTGATGATCCATGTACGCGAGATAATTTCTTATCAACGAGATCCTTAAATTCATTACCCGCGAATCGTAGTACGGATGTAAATTCAGAACGCGAAGAGTGCATGTTCAACAGACACAAATTATGTCCGATGTGTGTGCGTGATTATTTTCGTTTTCTTCTTTCCCGTTCATGCAATGCGGATGCACAACGTGCCGGATAAGATCGAAGATCCATGAGTCATCGGGAATTCGAAACCCATTCAAAACTGGTTGTTTGACCGATGGAATGTAGCTTTTAATAGAAGGAACAAGCCTGCGGTTATTGATGGCTTATATCGCTTACGAGAGCGCGAGGATACACTCTCATGAAAGGAGAACGTTGATTATCGTTATCGCGTTAATTATCATTGCAATATGCCACACTATGAGAGAATTTTTCAAAATCAATGTAAAGAAAGTCAACGAGATCAAAGAATAATTTTATATTGATGCTTTTTAAATTATTGTTAGATATCTGACAGAAGATATCGCTATACTTACCTTCGTTTAAAAATTCGCATCTTTCGAGAGACTATCAACAACTACTTCTTGTTATAAATTAGGATAAAATGGCACATATAGAAAATGGAACGCGATTTGGAGCGCTTTTATTTTCATCCGATGTTAATTATCCAAGCGATGATAATTTGCTAAAATAAAAGAGAGCACAAGACAGCAAGGAAAAGTGCATACACACAAATGTGTAAAAACAATTCAAAGTAAATTATAACAGGAGATTAGTAAGTACGGCCTTCCCAGCAAACGAGAATGGATTGAAATGAATTGAAATGGATTCAGATTTTCAGAAATATTGATTCACGAATGTTAAAATGAATGCTTTTCAATCTTGAATGCATTTATAGAAATTGCATGGAACATATCTCTATGCCTTTCAATTCAAAAATAATATTAGCTTTTTCTATGCACAATTGTGAATACTGTTCAATTCAAAATTTTGAATAGGAATGCAGTTTTTCAATCCAATTGCATCCAATTGAATCCAATTAAATAAAAAAAAGTATTCGCTTTAAAATACGCATTCGGATAAAAAAAAATTTCAATCCATTTTAATCCATTCTCGTTTGCTGGGTTGAGAGATTTTGAGATAAAATATAAATGAGAGAGAGAGAGAGAGAGAGAGAGAGAGACATGAAAAATTGTAAGCCATTTAATATTTATACGAATGTAATACGTTAATCGTTTTTTAGTTAATTTACATTTTAATTGAGGTGCGTTTTTAAAGCACGAATCTCAAACGCGTTTCTTTTTATTATTAATTAAATCACTAAATCGTGCGGATGCTTAAATCGAGTTATATTTGCTTACGCGAAAGAAAGCGCGGCATAGAACAAAGGGAAAAACCTAACTTGATTGTTTGCGCCATATTGTTGACACAGCTTCCGACTCGCTTCACTGCAATTATCGTTGTGTCAACGATATAATGTACATATGCAACATACCTACTTGCGCTTCTTTCTTCTTTTTCTCCTTTTTATTTTTTTGAACTTGTCTCAACTTGCGTTGTCGTCTGCACTTTACAAGTTCGCACGGGTAACATTCAATTCAAACGCTTACTACGCGCTTATCTCGCATACGCCGTATGCAAGCGTGCAAATGCAGAATCCAAACATACGGAATCTAATTGGTATTGATATCTCTTGCTACGTCAGACAACTATTCCAGACCGACAATGAATCGTAGATAAATCTTTTTTGCATTGATATTATATCGGCAGAGTAATCCTAATTTGTCCCTGTCTCTTATTTCTTCCCTCCTCCTGTCGCCCGCCACTATCATTCCACTTTCAGAGATGGATCAATTCCAATGGTCGATTTTAGCTGCTCTATGTAAAAAAAAAAGTATCACAATTGATAATAACACCTTGCATAAACATGGCTCAACAATGTTTTACGGTATAGAAAAGGAGATAGATAGATAAAGGGAGGAGACATTTTTTTTAATTCTATTCTCATTTTGTTTAAAAAAAAATCTTTATACAAATCTTATTACTTATGATACATAACGTCAGCCAATAACGTAGCAATTTTAATGCAATTTATTTCACACGCAATAACTTTTATAAAATTTTTATTCCATTTCCATATATACTGTTACAAAAATAGTAAGAACGAAGATAATTAATACATAAATACTTAATAAAAATTAGAGATGCACCGGAAGTCTGGAAAGTATCTTGTATCCGGTATTATCCGGTACTTTTTATTTTCTAACCGGATATTATTAGTATCCGGGAATATATCCGGTTGAAATTTCATATCATTAAATTGTTGATTTTTTTCTTATACAAATGTTCTAGAAATAAGTATGCATATTCATGATGCTACAATATTTTGTACATTGTTGCAAAATTACAGTCTTTTTCTCTAGACTTTTTTTTTAGAGGACATTTTCTCGGATTTTAGAGGACATTATTCGATCGGATATCTGACTCGAAAAAATTGCTTTCTTGGATATTCGGAATCCAATAATTTTACGATCCGGTGCATCCCTAATAAAAATATCATTAAATCTCCACTGAATCGCCTAATATTTGTTGAAGAACTCGCATCCCATCTTGGAATTTGTAATATATGTATGATTGTTCTAACGATGATCTAATGGAACACCTTTCCACCAAAATCACTTTTCCATCTTCCTTCTCCGTTAAATTCCAGATATTGCGAAAGTAAATTGTTTGAATAAAGTTATTGATGAGGCTAGAACTGGTCCATATGCACACATGTACCTATAATATAATCGTTATTTATTTTATCATAAAAACAACATCACGATTGAAAAAGCATCAAGACTAAATAACTCTCGAAATTTAATTTTCCGACAATATTACTTATGGGATTGTTTACTAAATAAAACTATCCAAGTTAATTTTTTTTTAAGTTGGAGAAAAAATAGATAGAAGATGAATCAAAGTCGTATGTTTATTTAGATGAATGAATAATAAAATATAGATAAAGCCGATGGCACAAGCTGCATGTTTCCTTGCTGGATTGCTAGTTGAAATAAATTTTTACCATCGTATTGACTACGATGCTGACTCTGTTAGTACCGCAGCCAATACGATGGCAATATTCTAATCCAGCTAGGAATTAGGAATCCAGCAAGAGAATAAGCATCGTACAGATTAATATAGCGGAGACCAAAGGTGTTTTATCACGTTTTATGTTTTAGAGAAAATACAGATTTTTTTCTTTATTCGGAAAAGCAGAAATCTGTTTTTTCAAAGCTATAAATAATATTTCTTCCTTACATTCTTTTTTAAAATTCGTGAACACGAATTCATCGAATGGAGTATCAAGGCGCAAATTCTAGCGATACGCGACCTCGAATTATCATCTCCAGGAGCTTCGTCATTCAAGAGATAATCATCCAAGTCATCTATCAAAAGCACAGAAGGTACCGCTGCATAGGTGTGCAGTTTACAAAGTTGTTCCACGAGAGCTTCGTAATCCGACAAATATCTGCGTAAAATAAATAATATATCAAGATGGCTATGCGCGCTGTGTAAAATATCGATGGATAAGATATTTACTCTTTTTAAATAACAATTAAATCAAGATAAACATAAAAAAGTTCCCAGCAAACGAGAATGGATTAAAATGGATTGAAATTTTTTTTCTATCTGAATGCGTATTTTAAATAGCGAATACTTTTTTTTGGATTTAATTGGATTCAATTAGATTCAATTGGATGTAATTGGATTGAAAAACTGCATTTCTTATTCAAAATTTTGAATAAGAAATGCAGTTTTTCAATCCAATTACATCGAATTGAATCTAGTTGAATCCAATTGAATCTAATTGAATCCAATTAAATCCAAAAAAAAGTATTCGCTATTTAAAATACGCATTCAGATAGAAAAAAAATTTCAATCCATTTTAATCCATTCTCGTTTGCTGGATTGCAGTGACAACAATTGTTGACAAATAAGAAACCTTTAAATATTAAAGTAGTGTCAGCTCAGATCCAATCCATTCCAATTCATTCAATCCATTTTCATGGATTTTAAGTATGCATTAAAAAAATTTTAATCCATTTCAATCCATCCTCGTTTGCTAGGAAGCCTGCAGATGTAAAAAAAAAAATATATATTATTACATAATATATAATATAATATAGTACTAAATCTTACATGAATCTCATTAGCTTGAGAGCGGTGACTGATGGATTCCTTCTGTCGTGACAAGCCGCCGGTTGTTTTTCCAAAGGTATCGGGGTAATGTAAACAACCCATTGTCCCTCCTCCGCCCAATACGTTGCAGCCTAGATGTAGGAAGATGTTTTCTTTCCACTTTAGAAAATATATCTTGTAGGAATGTTGAGAGAGACAGATAGATTATGACGTCGCATTATTACGTCACTTACAGTCATTTATACGTAAGTTTGAACATTGTCTACGTGCAAATATCTACATACCTCAAACATAAAGGATTTACTCAAGTCTTTCGATCCGCACAACAACGTTGTCTTGACATTTTTCGGAAACATAACTAATTAATGGGTTAATGTGTAACCCTGCTGATAGTGACTTGTGAGCGACTGCTTTATTCGCGACTGTTCGTGACTCGACAGGATGGCTGTGGTCAAAATCTCGCTACAAATGCTTTGAAGCGTTTGATGGACCAATTAGAAGAAAGAATTTTACAAACTGATCAATTAAAAAACACTTCAAAGCGTTTGTAACATCCGAACCCATATTCGTATTATTTGAAATAGCCTAACCTCACTTCTACCTGCACTTCTACTTCGTCTAGCTGTTTCTACTTCAGTCGTTATAGCCAGTGTTATACAATTTCATAACTTAATTATTACACGGTACTTGTAAGTATGTATATTGGTTGAAAAACGTAACAGTTTTGCAACCGTTTTATGATTCTCTGCTGAGACTGGACTATTCCTCTTGATCTAAATGCATAATCCAATCAGCGCGAAGAAAACTTTCAACAGTTGCAAAATAAACGTTTTGCTGAACGCAGCCAATGGGCGAGTTCAAGATGGCAAGCAGCTAAGTATGCTTACCGAGTGATTGAATATGATTGGTTGGATTTATAAGTAATAACCAATTATGTTTGCTCGACGAGCAAGCTAGCCGCTTTGTTAACTTGAACGCGCCCAATGAAAAGCGAAAATTTGACGTATGATAAACATTATAAACGACTTCGTAATTCGTAATCGTGTATGCTCGTATATGTAAATTTTTACTTCATTGCATTTTTTGAGTGTAGAAATGATATAGGCAACTCTACAGATAGATTTTCAAATATAACTTTATTGGAACTTTATGTTAGAACAGTCATGAAATTTGGTAACATTATGATGGAATTGTATAGCGCGATAGCTATTCGTATAAAACTTGTACTCTATGTATAAAATACGAGGGACATTCAAATTTTTATTAGTTTAAATTCACACATCTCTGACGATGCCCGTTGTGACGCTAGCTATGTCATGGAACCCTAGAACTGTATTTTCTCGAAAAAAAATTGGTAGGAGCAAAGTTTGGTAGAACAAAGTTCATCCGAGACAATGCATGCAACGACTCATTGATGTATCATTGCATCCTTATTTACTATTCGGTGAACAATAATGACAAATGAAACAATTTGCAGACCTAATCTTCGGGTAATCTTCGGTAAAAGCAGCAGACATAAGCGAACTGAGATTGAGCCAAATGTAGAACAATACACAACAATTACATCGGAAAGAAAAGAAAGGCTTTCAGAGATGACTGACGATATCAAACCAAGAATGAATCACATCCCTGTGGCATTCAAAAATATATATTGCGGTAATGGCAGAAAATACTGACTGAATTGATGAGTTTATTCGTTGCGTGCATTGTCTCGGATGAACTTTGTTCTATTAAACTTTGCGTCTACCAATTTTTTTCAATGTGCTTCATGTGTAATTTGAAATGTACCCTATACATTCTAAAGTGACGTACATGTCTCATTATCTGGATATCATAATTATAATTTGAATTTGAACGTTTCTTGCATATCACACGTTACATATGTACATACACACACACACACACACACACACACACACACACACACATACATACATACATACATATACATTATATATACATATATATATATACAAGTATATGAATAGAAATAAATATGTTAAAAGACACGATCCTGATAGCCACTATCGGCCATACTGGAACTAGGTTTGGCTGGTCCTCCAGGTACTTGATGATGCGGATGTCGCATATGACCAGGTCGTCTCGGTGGTGCCAGATATTCAAACATACTCTGAGTATGTTGCGCCAGCATCTTGCTGAGATCGCATGGCATTGGATCAGTCCAGAAAAAATCATGATTTAGCGCGGAGTCAGAGTCACATCTTTTGCTAGGATCGAGTATTAAAAGTTTATCCAACAAGTCACAGGCATAAGGATCCTTCAGATATGGCTTCAGTCTGTCTTTGACCTATATATAAAATCATTAATCAATTAATATCATTTATTGACTGATTCAAAATTTAAATATTTATTACTTTAAATACGAAGCGCTACTACAGTCTGAATGTTAAGATGTTAAACTAATATATATATTCATATAAATAAATTAATTTCAGAAATGATAATTGCGTGCCGATATGTTTGTCGGACTTTCAATGCAATCAATCTGAATTAATTTCAGATAATATTTCAGATTGATTGCGTTGAAAGTCCGACAAACATATCGGCATGCAATTATCATTTCTGAAATTAATTCGTTTATAAGAATATATATATTAGTTCAACATTCAGATCATAGTGGCGCTTTGTATTTAAAGTAATGTTATTTAACATAAACGGTCTTGTTTCCAATCTTATTGTTAAATATTTATATTGCAATATAAAAATGTGTTACACGTCTGATTCAACGTACGTTTAATTGAATAGAATATCAATTTACATGAAATTTTTAAATCAAGTGTAGCTTGAAATCATGTTACTAATTACATTACTTCCTCAAAACATACAATGCTTTACCTTTCTTTTCTGCCCCTTGGGAAGATCCATTTTGGTAAATAGATCTAAATTTTCAACGCCAGGCCACACCTCAGTCGTTATCGAGCCACACAATTGTGAAATCAATATAAGCTGTTGTTGCTCGGTACTTCCCTGCATTATAGGAGATCTGTAGATTTGAAAGACAAAGTATATGATTACGCGAACATAAATCACAAAACATAATCACAGAACATAGCAAGAACATAATCATAGAATAATGTAAACCTTGTCCACATTTCTGCCATTATACAGCCAGCGCCCCATAAATCCACTGGCGGTCCATAATTTCTGTCACCAAGTAGGAGCTCTGGTGGTCGATACCAAAGAGTAACAACTCTATTGGTATAACGATTCGAATGACCGTTTTTTGCACTGAATGCTCGTGCCAAACCAAAATCAGCTAACTTTAATACGCCATTCTTTGTTATTAAAACATTAGCGGCTTTCATATCTCTATGTAAAATCTGTGAGAAATTAAATACTTTTTGTGATGCTGAATGTAATAATTATTATAACAATGTCAATAGCAACAATTAATGATATCACTGAATAACTTTATTCTACAACTATAATAAACCATACTATCGCAATCGTCGTTTTAATAACTAACAATTTTTAAAATATTATATTATGTATACTTATAACAAGAATATTAAAATGTTTAAAGATAAATGTACATGCACATATGCAGATTGAAATATAAAGTATGTAAAGATTATTGTTATATTTTGATGGAAAATAATCTTGAATCTATTTATTACTTTCTATTAATAAATACTGATTAAACTTTTTTAGAACTTGATATCTTTAAAGGGACGTAAAATGAATAAATAAATCTTTTCTCACCTTATTACTATGTATATAGTAAAGACCATTTAGTAACTGTTGCATAACCTTTTTTATTTCGCCTAAACTAAATTTCACATTTACATTTGACAACAAGCCAGCCAAGTCATGTTCGCAGAAATCGAATATCAAATAAAAAGTAGACCGATATCGATTATACTGAGTTGCTGAAAACATTATGAAATTAATTAAATTAGATTATACAACATCGAAACCAATTGTTTCAATTACTATTTAACGCTGTTTATAAAATCATTTTTTATAATTTTTTATTTTCAGATATTTATAGTTGTAGTTTCTTTACATATTCCTCTAAGAGGTATTCTATCTAGTGAAAGAGTAAACTCCTACGTGTACATATATATATATATATATATATTTACCTCGCGTCCTGCAAATCTCTATAAGGTTAACTACATTCTCATGTTTCAACAATTGTAATATCTTTATTTCACGTAATGCCGTAATAGGAAACTGTAACAAAATTTTAATATTCACATATAACAAATAATAAATTTTAAAAAATCTTGAATAGAGTAAAAGGAAAAACATGTTTGCGTTAATATAAAGATTATGTTAACACAAGCATTAAAAAATTTTAGTACAACATTTCAAAGCAACCTTGACAATCATAGAATTAAATTAAATGATATACTATATAATTTAAAGTAAACTTACTCCTTCTTTCTCATTGTCCATTAATACTTTCTTCATTGCAACAAACTTTTTGTTTGTTTTCTTGTCCTTAGCCTTAAATACCTCTCTATGAAAAAAGAGAGTACACATATATACAATACAAATTAGAAAATTTAAAGCAGACGCGATATTTATTCAGAATACTCTCCTCGCATCTCAAATCTGAAGAGTACGACTATGCTTACTTGATTGTTAAATGAAATAATTGTTATTGAAAAAATATTTGGATCGGACAAATCGTCCGAAATTTCTCGATAATCGGCCGTAACCTTACAACATCGCATAATCTAAACTTAAGATTTTTGCTTACCCGAAAGTTCCTTGGCCAATTTTCGCAACTTTTTCATACTTGGAAGATTCATCGCAATATGGAAAATCGAATTCCTCGATGTATTTTTCCTTTTCCTTCGTATTCATTGTAATCGCATATATGTATCTACGCACTAGTGTCAATATGAGATACTTGTAACGGACGAGTTCGAACTAATCAAGACGGCAAAGCTATGGTGGAAGGAATTGATTTGATATAGGGTGCTTTTCACCATGAGATGCATTCGTTTAAGGTGTCTGTACATAACAGCGTCAGACGCTCGACGCTCATTTTCGGCGTCAAAATAAGTCACGTGATAGAAATTGACGAATACAATATTAGGGCTTCGCACGATAAAAGGAACAGGAACAGAGAATAAGAATTTCAATTTATTGAAAACTGTGTATTTCACTATACACAATGATTTGATATACACAATGATGAAATTCTTATTCTCTGTTCTTATCCTCTGTTCCTATTTAAGCCTCTTAGAGTGAAATCACACGATTCAGAACTGCGGAATACAAAATATGTCATTGAAGCAACCAATCAGCGCTATTCCGCACTTTTCCATCACGCAAATTTTGTATACTACGTTCACATGCATACGATGCATCAAAGATGCATCCAGCATGAATATAATTTAAAAACTACCAACTTCATGTTAATAATTTGCTTGTTAAAATGAAATATAATTTTTTAAAATTGTAAAAATTGTAAAAATAATTATCACTGTTGTAGTATTTAATTTTATAATTAATAATTAATAAAATATAAAATTTATCTCATAACAATTATTTGAACTGCTTTAACGCATTTACTATCATTTTTCTGCATCGCGTAAACATAGCAAACAAAATTGGCATGATGGAAAAGGGCACACTAAAATCGCACGTAATGCATCATTGTTTTTTTTTTATTTTGGTATCTATATTTATGCACTCAGATTTTATCTTTTTGATGCTGATTGATATGATGGAATCTCGACATTACGCAATTCCATCATATCAATCAGCATTAAATTATTTTAACCTTTTAAAATACGACGGTTTATTACAAGAACAATGACGCAACATCAAATGCGGAATTGCGCTGGTGGTTGTTTCAATGATGCATTCTTTATT